GGATAGAGGTGAGAGGAGCTGAGAGCATTACAGAGAAACAGAGCTGGAGCCCTCACCAAACTACGTGACACCCTGTTATGGTTTTCACACATGAGCTGGTAATCCTCTTTATTGTTTAAACCAGTTTGAGTTGGTTTTCCTGTTTTTTCTATTACTTGCAAAACCAAGCATCTTAACTGATACAAGTCATCTCCTGTCTTAAGAACTTCTCTAATATTCAGCTAGAAAGTGAAAAATTCCTGTCAAACATCCAGATATTTGATTTGTGGAAGCAAAATCCAGATTTTTTCCTGTGGCTTTTAGAAATAAGTATTATATCACTCCCCAGAAAGGAGGAAAAAAACTCACTTTGACCTTGAAACAAACAAATGAAAACAGGGTCATCTTGTCTAGTTCTAGTCTCCAAAATAAATAAAACCTTGAGACTTTCCTATAAGTTACTGACTTAACTCACAAAAACAACTTTACCCTTGACTTTCAAAAGCATTTTTAATTGAGTTCAAATTTATTGATAAATATTTATAAACTAATGAATTTGTTTTTATAACATTTTGTGAATTCACACTTAACATTACAGACCAAATCTTAACTAATCAAGTTATTATTTTTTTAAGAATTTAAACTCATAGCAGTACAACTTATTTTTTCCAATACTAGTGAGATTTCAGTGGGATTCTTAAAACTTAGATGATGATGAGATATAAGCCTTATAGATGTGAGCCCTTCATTTCTTTTAGGATCTTTGATAGACTATTCCATGGTAACATAAAAAACAAACAAGAAGAAAAGACCTGTTCTCTCCCACGGCTGATGTTCAGGATGCTGATTTCTTCATGTTAGGATATCTCTGACACTTGCAATGTTGCTGTCTGAGATACGCCGTAATCTTTCTAGATACACATGTGAGAAAATTGCTGTTTTCCCACCATGAACAGAGACTAAGCATAAACCTAGTAATCTTGGTAATGATTTATCCTTTCCATACCCATTATATTGGTCATCAGATTAAGCCTTTTCTTTCTCAGTCTGATTCTCTTGCAGCTTCTCTGCAAGTTCTTATTTAATGATTTTTGTCTCTAAGTTTCTTTTTATAGTTAGAGGTCCCCCTGAGGTTGTCCAGGGAGACTTATTACCCAAGTTAACTAAATTCATGGGGTTTACTACTTTAATTAAAAAAAAACACAGCAGGGCCGGCCGAGTGGCACACTGGTTAAGAGTTGGCTTGGGACGCCAGCTCTGAGCAGCAGGGTCCTGGTTTGGATCCCACATAAAAGGCCAGTGACGCTGCGCCTTCTACAGCTGAGATGGTGAACAACAGCTCAACTTGGAGCTGGGCTGCTGTGAGCCGCCAGCGATGGCGTAGGCTGCAGTGGGGCGGCAGTGGGCTGCCATAAGCTACTGTGAGTGGCCTGCAGCCAGCGTGAGTGGCCGTCCAATGGCCTGTGAGTGACTGCCTCACCCGGGAAGAGCGCAATGATAATACCAACATGGACCAGTGAAGCAACGTCCTCCACAACTAGACTGAAGANCAAGCCTATTACTGGCACAAAACAGCTGATTGAATTGACTTGCCTGGGCTCAGCTCATGCAAAGAATGATCGAGAGCATGGACCTATTTCTCTGGTAGGTTATGGTAAGAAGAAAGAAAAGGAGAACAAGAATTTGAAGATAAGGAATCTGAGTCTCAGGCTGTTGAATAATTTCCCCCCAGAGTTGGTAGGTGGTGCAGCCAGGCCTCAAACTGACTCTAAGGCCCTGTTGGCTCCATCGACACAGAAATAAAAGTTAACACTATGCAATTATCTCATTCTGGGCTTCAAGCCCCTGGCAGCCAGCCTGAGAGGAGCCATTACCTTTACATTCCAGCTGGGGACTGGGTTCTCCTTGTCATAGCAACAGTCCTGTTTTAGGCACTGGCAGGCCCTCTGAGCGACTATGTCCCATCTGTATTCTTCTGCCACATTGTGGGTTGGGTCAGCTGGATCTAGGATGATGGGCCTGCAACACAGGGACAGGGTGCTCAGGCTATTTCTGATTTGGAGGCCTGCAAGCCAGAAAGAAGCCTTCCTGGCCATCATCTCTTCAAGCCCCTGATCATCTGCTATACCCAGAGCCCCAGGCTGTCAGTCCAGGAGGGTCCAGAAACATTGCTGGAGAGTAACAGGATAGAGATGATTAGAGTTGCAAGAACTCCTCTTGGGGAGAGTCTCAGGTATTTGTAAGAAATTTTGGTGGTGGTGGTTGTGGTGTGTGTGTGTGTGTGTGTGTGTGTGTGTGTGTGTGTGTGTGTGTGTAGGGGTGAGAGATGCCAAAAAGCATGCTGAACCAATAACAGATGCCCACTCAGGCGTCTTAAGTCTGAACTCTCTTAAGTTCAGAGACTTTATTTTGCTGACAGGCTACGTAAGTTTGAGGCTAGAGCTGCTAAATTGCTTTGGATATTGGTCACACCACCCCCCAACTACTGATATTTATAGGACACCTGGACAAACTCTATGTGAATTAACCTAGTTTAATCCTTACAATAACTCTATAAAGTAGGGACTAGTATTATTATTACTGTTGTTGTCCTTATTTTACAAATGAGGAAACTGAGGCACAGACCTCCCTAAGTTCTCACAGTTAGTACATGGGGTTCTTACCCGTCTCTGCTGCCTCAGCACAGGAGAGGTTAGGCTGCCTCCAAGTGCCTCTTCTCTGTATAAATGTTGAATAAATATTTTAAAGAATGTTGGCTTGAAGAGGGTCTAATAGCCTCTTTAGGTTGCTTGGGGTGACCACATGTATTGGATGCCAAGCCCATGATAAGAGCTGGCCCTTGTGCTCCAGGAGATTTTGATTTAGGAGTAAGATGTGACTTCATGTGACACAATGTAACAGCAGGCTATTGGAGTTCACTGAACATTTTAGGCTGCAAGTTTGCTACTCCCCAAATCCCTGGCTCCCTGAAATGGGGTGGGGTCCTCTGACCCAAAGTGACCCACCAGGGGACCTGTCACAAAGGGCCTGTGCCCAGTGATCAGACTGGTTCCCTCTGGAATTTGGATCAGGGATGGTGGAGGTCTCCCACCAACTGGGAGTAAGAGGGAAGCGGCAGGTGTGGAGGGAGAAGAAGAGGCAGGTGGGCAGTACGAGAGAGTGACAGAGAAAGAGGCAGTCCATAGGTTTGCCTCAGGTCCCAATGGTTTTCCAACCTCAATTTTCTGGGCATCCTTATAATCAATGTTCTTTTCATAAGGAGACCAGGTTTATCTTCCTTGCAAGAAAAAAAACAAAAAGACCCAACACTTCCAAAAGAGAGTGATAAACATTCTTGTGATATTGCTTACACTGACTTAGAGATTCTAATATAAAGAGTTGTTTCGGGCTGGGTTCTCCCAGAATCAGATCCCAAGAGAAGAATTTGAGTGTAAGAGGTTTATCTGGAAGGAGATGCCAGGAAGCACCAATCACGGAGTGGGAAAGTGAGAAGGGAAAGGAAAGGATACTAACAAAAGGTGCGTATCAAGGTGATTCCCACTGTGGGCAACCGGAAGTTGGTCCCACTGGAGGGTTGCTAGGAAACGGAGAAGCACACATGACCCAGAGAGAGTCCTTCCATCTGAGATGGGAGGGACCTTGGGTATTTATCCACCAGCTTCCACCAGGCAAAGGAACACAGGTGCTGACAGTTGGAGACTGAGCCAGCCTTTCTGGAAATGGTAAAGGCCCCGGGGGACGCACCAGCAGCACGTGCTACAGTAGTGAGCATTTATCGGGGATCTACCCGGGGCTAGATACTGGAGGCCCTTTGCATGTATTTTCTCCAACCCTCACAACAGTCCTGCATTGTTGGTGCCAGTTACTCCTTGTTTTACAGAGGAAGAACTGAGGCTCACAGAAGTGAGAAAAAGGCAGAGCTGGGATTAAGCTTAGGTCTCCATGATTCTTGCCACTTTCCCATGCTGTCACTAAAAAGCACTGTAATGGCCTGCTGCGGGCAAGACGGTTAAGGTAGGGTCAAGTGTTGGCTTGAGAAACAAGGAGAGACTCCTAGCTGCTAAGGCCTCTGGTGATTTCCAAAGGTGGCCATACTGTTAACTGTATAACTGCATGAGACTTTAGTGCGGCCATTCTACTTAATAAAGCCCACCCCTAAAACTCCATACCTCCTTTCCCTCCATTCTCTTTCTTTTCTCCCTGAAATGAGGCTGGCAAGCAGGGGCTCAGTACCTCTTTCTTTGGAACTCTTTTCTGACAAAGTCCTCGATGATTGGGTTCTGGAACGTGTAGTTCTTGGTCCAATAGATACAGAGGAACTCATACTCCTGGAGCAGTTTCATCACTGTGGTGAGACCTTCGTCCAAACTGAAATTCTCACTGCCTTGTGTGCCCATTTCCCAGGCGTAAATGGTCAGCAGCTCGAGGGCGTAGATGGGGGGCAGCATGGCCCTGGGGCACCTGGCTTTCACATACTGTTGAAAGAGATGAAAAGAGAAAGAGATCCCAAGATTCTGTGTCAGGATGGCACTGGACCAGAGATGGGAAAATCCAAGTTCCTGTCTCAGCCAGGTCACTTACTGGCTATGTAACCTTGGCCAAGTCACTTTACCCTCTCTGGCCCTATGTGTGTCTCCCATTTTTTAATTAAGGGGATAAGTTAGTACAGCTGTGCTGGACATAACTCCTGGAATGGAGCTATGAAGAAGTGTCCCAAGGAGTGAGCAGGTTGGGCTCTGCCACAAGGACCCCCAGCCTAAGCAGCTCTATTTTAATCCAGTTTAATGTATTGGGTTTCTGAAAGGTTTCCTTTAAAGAAAAGGCTTCTTAGCTAAAGAGAAAACAAACAAAACAACAACAACAACAAAAAACCCACAAAGGATGTGGTGGGGGGAATTACAGGACTAGGTAATAGCTGAGATTCTGTGGTGAACATTGGGGTTGCCTCTTTAGCAGGCCTTTCTTCCTTCTTTATTGTACAGAAGCCATGCTGTTTAGATGGGATTGGCCCCACTCTCCACTCCAGGGTGGGTCCTGACTGGACACGGCCATGGGTACAAACACAGCTTGCCAAGTGATTGGTTCAAGAGAAACCTTATGATCTAAGTTTGCTCGATTTGAGGAAAGCCTAGTTCTTTTGTTCAGTGATTGGAAGAAGAGAAACCCTCTCGCGTGTGGATGTGAGGACAGGAACAACTGTGGCCATTTTACCATTGTGAGGGAAACCAGACTGAGGGCCCAGATGACGGATAGAGGTGAGAGGAGCTGAGAGCATTACAGAGAAACAGAGCTGGAGCCCTCACC